AGCCAATGTTTTCAAAAGGGGAAATGGATAGCTCTATGTCAAAAGCGTGACTCCATAAAGGTCTCATAAATAGCAATTGTATCATTTGATCAATTCTATAGCATACTGAATGAAAGAATGAGGACAAATGCACATCAGGCATCTGAGGGAACTGGCTACCACGATCGATCGTTTGGAACACAAGGATCGTGGCATGATTAAGTACTCGAGCAATAAGATCAAGTACCTCTGTGGATCTGTTTTCCGAGACTGTTGCATTGACATAGCAAATTCTACGGAACATCCGGTGTTTGCAGCTTCAATGGAAACCACTCCGATATCCTTGTTACCCATAGAAAAATTTTTCAAGAGGTTTCCCAAGAGGTTTCAGGGTACAATGCTGGCAAGTTAACTGCAAACGTTCTGTAAGTAGACTACAGATTGACATTAAATTCGGATGTTTGGCATTGAATTTTGACATTCCATCTTTCTTCTCGGTCTAGTTAATGAGGTAGTCGAATTGTCCCCGATACTGTCATACTGACGTAAGGCTGTAGATAAATGACATTATATACGTTTCTTTGTAGGTTTGTTTGTTTTCCTTTTTTTTTTTTTTTCGACTTTGTGTTCTCGTTTTGCTTTGTATTGTTTTGTTTTCCCCTCTAACGACTGTAACTGTCACAAAATGCGGTCGAGACTAGTGTCACGTGAAAATTTACACACAACATTGCGTAAGTTCAGTATCACATGATCTAAGCCAATAGACCAGTTTACGCAGCCTACTATTGATAGAAACCTACAAAAGTTCAGGGATCTCTTCTGTGAATTCATTGACGACCTCCACTTTAATGTTGAGCAAGAGCCGGGTATTGAGTCGATAAACCAACCAAAATCTCATAACATTGATCACCCAGCGCATTCAGGAAGACGACAGATCAACGGTGTACTGTGCTGGAACGCGCTCAGTTCTGATGCATCCATGACTCCACTATAAAATCTCGGGTCTATTTGTCACCTAGGTTCATCTTAGTCGTCGGACAGGAAAGAAGGAGAAGTTTCCAATTTTTTGCAAGAAATCGTTGGCTTGTGAAACGACAATTTGAAATCTATTTCCATTTTATTAAGACAGAGCGGAAGTTGGTCGGAAGAGAGAGTAACTATCCGTTACGTTATTGAAACGATAGCAAGGGAAATATTTCCTCGTGCTGTCGTCCGGTAAGTGTATCTCGTCTTCTACGGTTATGGAGGCGCTCGGGAGCGACAAACGACGTGACCGCAAGCAGTAACACGAGAGATAGGTATTGGCGACAGACGACCTTAATAACAATTAAATAAGACAGAATTTATAAGAATACCGACGAATAAGGGAAGTGACATTCTATCGGCTGTTACTTACGTGACATGGGCATATGAGTGAATTCAGCAGACCGACATTACCGCTCTCTAGAACTGCTCATTCTCTAAGCACCAAAGGACTTCCGTAAGATTTAAAGCGTTAGAATCACCTGGCCCCATAAGGCTTAATGGCCGGACATTTACGCGCGACAATGAACACCTAAGATAATCATTGATTGGCCAGCCAAGCAATGATTACTCCATAATAGGTAATTGCACTGAAATTAGACAGATGGGGACAAATTTGGCGTAGTAAATTCGCTAGAATCGCCATTCATAAATACTCACCGGCAATTGAGGGTTCATCTTTATTGTGCAACTAAAAAAATTGGCAAAAGCCAAGGCAAACAAACTACAGACTATTTGCTCTCAAAATTTTGTCGGTAACCTTGCACTTCTGCAGTGAACACCATTATAACAAGAAAAATCATTGAAATTACTGAACGAATTTCAAGGGTGAGATCACAAAAAGGGTACAAAGAGGGGTTGGACTGGATCTTAAAGCTGAACTTCTGGTTTCTTTTTATCATTTACACCGGAGCAAAACCTCACTGCGGGTGAGCCCTGAATGATAAATGGTTTGCAGCTTAAAAGAAAACAATTTTAATTAGCTATCTAATTATTGTGGATATTAGGCACTGAATAGATCTGTCGAAAATTTTGTGAGCTATTTAGCATTCAGGGACTTAATGGACTCTGGGCACTATAGGAAAAATTCTACGCTCTTTTTTTTTCCGCGAGTCATTCTCCATTCCCTCTTGTAAAATTTCAGTCCCAGTATATCGTCTCGCGCCTTCCCGGTACTAGGATAAAAAAAAATGTTAGCAATGTTACTGTACATTTCTGCCATCTTATGTTGAGCCGGTTTGTCCTGTTTTGTAGGGAAGTCCCTAAGATGCCCCAGGATCTCTCCTTCTCCGTCCGTCCCTTACAACTGAACAAGGCATTCCCAACCTCCAAACAATGCGACCAATCTATGGAGAATCGTCAGAACCAAGTTCAGAGAACGAATTTCATTCTGCTCCGAGTAGTGTTTCCCCAGTGCTAAAGCGGATACCGGGCAGACCTAGCACCCCACGAGTTGATAAAGAGGTGATAACTTGTTGCTATTATTCCGTAATTTATTTATTTACTCATTTCTTTTGGTGTCCACATCATAGAGTTTCTCGCATAAGGTTTCTTTCAACCGCATTTGCATAACCTTTTTTTTATTTGCCGGCGTGAAAGGGAGAGAGAGCTCAAAACAGCAAACATTTCTAGGGTAATATTCCGTGTCACGCGCGTGATTCTGTGAACATAAATACATGTACCACTCAATACAAGACTTTGTCACACGATCTAAACTTGTGAAGGTTCCTGATGCATCTTCGCCTATGATATGTGAAAAGGTAAAGTCTGTACTCGAACCACGTGGCCCAGACAGCTGGAGCTTATCCCGGTTTCCTTACCATGAAGTGACTGGGAATATAATTACTCCTCCTTAGATGCGATGTTAGTCTATCCCAAGGTTACCCGCACCCACCCCCCCAGTACTTCATCAAGCTTCCCTGACGATTCGCCGGTACTCATTTATACTCCTGGGTGAAGAAGGGCTTTGCAGGAGTAAAGTGTTTTTCCGAAGAACACAACACATTGAGCCGCCCAGGTCTCGCACACCAATCCCGGTGTACCAATCCTGGTTAGCTAGTAAGCCATCGTCTTCCCTTGCGATAGTTGACGAGAGAAACGCACTGCGTGTAAATCTGAAAATATTTTTTTTTATCCCCTACCCTGAAAGAATTGCTCGATAGAGTTTGGGTTGTGGTCGTCTATCCTTTCAGTATCAATTCGAATTCTCCATATCATGCTTTGTTTACGCCCCCACCCCCGCCTTCTCCCTCTCCACACCAAGAATTTTGACCAAGTTTTAATCATACATTCAAACTGCTCAGCTAAAACAAGTTTTTTTCCTTTTCCTTCACACGGGAGAATCAAGCAATGAAGACTCGTTCGAATTCGGTTCAGAGAATAACTTCTGTACCGCTATAAGTTTTATATCAGTATCCGACACGCCATCAGAGGCAGGAGTGGAGGTGAAAATTCGCTCTCTACCTATACAATGCTGTTTCTTGTTTGCATGCAAATCAAGGTATCGGTTATTCTGTATCGCCTGAGCGGTTGAAGGATTTTGAGAAGATTACCCTGTTTTCAGGGAGAACGGGGTGGGGACAGTCGACGCTGACAGAGTGTTAAGGGGGGGACTTTGACCAACTAAATAACGGTCTCTGATATCGTGGAACGGATATGCCTTTTTTTCTTATCCTCTTTTTATTTGAATGGTGACAAAACAGCATTTCATGCCAGTGAAATCTCACGTCAAATGTCGAAGAGTACCTAATCTTTTCTACGTCGTTCTCTACAGATTTAGCACTAGATACCAGATCCGTTACAAAAAACTTCAACTAAACAACAAGTGGTTTTTTTTAAGTTTCTTTTCAGTAGAGCGTATTTGTGTCCATGGAGCCTCCTTTCCATACATCTACCAGCCCCGTAAATGTTTTGGAGGAGGAAATAATAATGATATATTCTTGGCTGTTGTTCTATATTTAACAAATGGTAAACACCACAGCGTACACTATTGAGCTATGGATACACGCGGGAGGTTCCAAAGCACGAAAGAAGCGTAAGAGTCGAGTGAGGCGATAGCCAAGAGCGACTCCAACAGCTTGAACAAACCTCCCAAGTGCATCCATAAATCAATAGTGTACGCTGTAGTGTTTATCATTTTTTTTGTAACATAACATTGATACATTGCGGCAAAAGAGTTCCCTTTTATTTAACTCTAAAGTCTTGCGTGACCAGAAAAAACAGGCGCATGTAACAAGTCTCTGCGTTTGCTCACGTCAGCCGCGTACACCGATGAGCAAATGGTGGACACTGAATGACCGATCAGAGCACGCGCTTTTCTTTGGTTATGTTATAACATCTAGAACCGTTGATCACATGCGCATATAAGGAATTTTGATGCACCGTCATTCCCACGGTAGTCCATTTCCTGGTCTCTTATTGTTTGGCAAAGTACTAACAAGAATGCGGATATGCTGTGAACCTCGGGATGGGTTAAAATCTGGGAATCCTTTGTAAAAACCTTAGTCATCCACTTTTGATATCTTCTGTAGGCTTACACGACATATTTCCTTTGTACAACATTGTCTCCTTTCTGTAGAACGCAGTCATATCTGTACACCCTGCGAGGCCCACATATCATTTCGAGGAGGGGATAAGTCTTAATGAACGACCTAAGGAACTAAATAATTTTTTGTCACAACGGTATGTTCATGGTCATTTTTTTAAATGAGAAAAGAAGCCATAATCGTTTGTATTATATGTGTATGAGGAGATTTAAAGCATGACTGTAATTTAACGAGGTGTATGTGGGGTATTTTGAAAGGCAATTAATATTTTTACCGAAATACGCAAACAAATATAAAACGGGCCTTTTGCAAACGCGCATCTAGCACACTGCAATATATGTCCCTATTGCGGTTGATTATCACTATCGTTCATTAAGTAAGTTCTTGGGAGAGATGTGTGTGTTGGTTCGAAGCTGAAGAACAGGCCAATGAGAATCCGTTCTCTGACTCAGCATGGACAGGAAAGGGAATCCAAGTTTAAACCACACCAACGCAAAACGCCACGACAATAAACTTGTGAGGAGTGCTGGATTAGTTGTAAACCAAGATCTATTAAAATATGGAGATACCTATAGGCATCGTAACTCAGTATCTGGCCATATCTAACGCTAAAAAAATGTAAATTTCTGTCTGTTATGTCTCCTTTCAGGCACGCTCTTCGAGTGAAATCTTTAAGTCACGTTCTTCGAGTGGAATCTTAACGTCTAGAAATATTTCAAGCGGATTTGGATCATTTAAGGTAAATGACGTTTAAGGGATCCCCTCCCTTACAGCTGTGGACGATCCTGTGATGATCAAGTTCATTTTGGTGAATCTTGTGGGCAAAAATTGGCGGCCACTCTCCTGTGTTCCGATCTGGCCGTTTCCTTAAACAAGGGTCTAGGATCATAGCTGAGCCTAGATATCTCAGTAAGCTATTCTACTAATAAATCACAAAGTTTACGGAGGTCGCCACTTAAACCCGTGAAGTCGTTTCACTTTTAAACTAAATATTTTGGCTCCGACTCCACATCTGTTCCGATAACTTGATTTTTTTATTGCTTTTTTTCTTTTCATGTGTATGAAAGCACCAAACATCAAATCAAACACAATGTTTATTATGCAAAAACATACTTAAAGGACACGTCAGAGGTTTTCCCCTCAGCGGATGCTCTCTGAAAAAATATAAAACAAGCTTTAAATTACTTCGAAAAATGCTAAAATCCTGCTCTTAAAGTCTCTCCATAGGAAGATTCCAGTTTTGATTCCACAAAAGATGTTCGGTTTACTGTTTTCCCGTCCTCTGAGACTAGAAAAGATGGACCAGAGAGGAGGGAGTCTGAATCGTCTACTGTTGTGTCCAGTGAGGGTGGATCACTGAAGGTGAAAGGTATCAAACTGTGTTGGCCTCCTGGAACTCTTGAAGATCCTGAAACTTTTAAGCTTACATTGAAAGATCCCTTCCAGCACTATAGCCTGATATTTCAAAGGAAGCTAGAAAACGATTTTATTTTTGGCGCAAATATCACTAATTTATGACCAAATGGTCTAAAGTTTAACAAATTTTTGACTTTTGAGAATCACCTTAGATAAAAACAAAGACCCGCATAATAAATGGCTCGTTCTACATGGCAAACAAGCCCTAGATGGAAACATTTTTTGGGAAGATATCACTGATCACACCAGGTTTGACTTGATAAATGGGGCAGTTACCACTGAAATCAATGGGTTTTTCATAATTGCTGTCCTTTTGAGATCAATTTGGGTACGATCGAAAGAAATAGTGACACGCCTCAACCTCATGTCATTTAAATACACGTTGTCGGTACTGTACAGGTGCAATCTTCAAAACTGTTCTTTCGAAGAGCTTGCTCTCGTTTTCATGAGCCAGGACGTCTACCAAGAGCAATCTTACAGAGAGAACGATCAATGTGCCTTGGAAAAACTAAAAAGAGATGGGTTTGAAGAACTTGGATCTAACGTTCGACAAGAAACCAACTATATATACAATGAGGAACGCCTCGTAGTCTCGATTCTTCTTGGTAAAGACTACAAGCTTGCAAAAAACCAGCGAGAAAGTATTGAAGTTACTGTTGAATCGTTCATAGGGTGGAATACTGGAAAGAGCGTCACGTTTCTGTGGCAAAGTTCAAGTACGAAAGCCAAAATTTTGTGTGGAGAGATCAATATTGAGGGTCAGTATGGGCATAACCGCAAGGAAAACTTCTGTCAATCGGGTGAACCTTAATCGAAGAACCGTTTTGGAAATTTCATCAAGTAATGTTGTAATCTACATTTTCTTGTTACTTGAAACAGTTCTTGGGAGTAGGCGAACAAGTTTTTAACCTTCGACCAATCAGAATAAGGCTTGAGTTTCCGACGGAAACGTGGAGCCAAGCTGTCTCTTGGTGGCAGAAAGAAGATAAACAGCTGGAAACCCTTTTGCAGGGATGGAAAGAACAGGAAGGGGACGAAGCCGGTCCTGAATTACTTAGGAAATCCCTTGATGGACTTAAAGCTGAAGGTAGGATGTTGCAGTATTTCGAATTGAGATTTCGTACATACCAAGGGCTTGTAAAACGTATAGGATTTTGCAATTGTCTGATCACATTTTCGTTCCATCTCATCATTCCAAAATAACACACTTAAATAGTTTGATACTAGAAAAATGTGCAACCATTGTTTTGGTTTCGGTGGATAGATACCTGCACTTTATCTTTGCTTCCCAATCAGTGGACAGCGTTTGATTTCGAACGTGATACTGCTATAAACATGGCTCTAAGTATTTCTACAAATCATTTCATTTATTTGCCAGAATTCAGAGTTAAAGAGAGAGGACAAATGCATATTACACATTTGAGAGAACTGGCGAATTCGATCCATAGTTTGAATCATGGGGACCATGACGTGATGAAATATGTGGAAGATGAGATAAGGAATCAATGCAGATCTATTTTGAGGGACTGTTGCATTGAGATGGCCAATTCAACGGAGGATATGAAGTGGGCAAGTTCCATCGAAAACCACACCGACGTTCTAGTAACCCGGGGAATTGTTTCTGATGAGGTTTCTCAACAATGTAAGGCCATGAGTTCATCTGCTGATAACGTTGTTAAAACAAATTTTCTTGTGCTGGTCCCTCATCTTGTTCAAGCCGTGAAGGAAATCTTCCGAGATGAGAGCGTTCCGCCTTCCCAAAGTGGAATGAGAGGACTGGGTAAGGAGACTGTCACAAGAATTGTTTAAGCGATTCAAAACGCTGCAAAGGACAGAAAAATACTGAGTCTTTTTAGACAAGTATGTGATGTTCTTGAGATGTTATGTCTAGACAACAATTACAATCCATCGCAAAACACAGATGAAAAGATACAGGAGTGGGGAAGTGCGTGAAAGATTACGAGTCGCTTCACTTCATCTTAAAGACATCATATCAGATCAAAAGGCCTATGAAGGAATCCATTTTCTCACAGTGGTTTTGCTGAAAGCTATCCACATTTACGATTCACACTGGTTTTTTCTTAAATTGCACCTTTTCTCTGCTGAAAACAATCAAACAGGTTTCAGATTTCAATAGTGCGGTCTATGCAGGAATTCCTTGTAGCAGAAGAAAGGAACTATTTTCCCCATCCTTAAAAGGGAACAAAAACTTAGAGACAGGCTTCTTCGTGGAAATTTTGAGTTTACTCGGCTGTCGAATCGATTCGTATTGAATTTTTTCTTATTATTATTATTACAGTTACAAGATTTTATCCGTAGATAATGTCCTTTTGTATGTTAGAGGAATATTGCTCAACTCTTTTTATTTCAGATCATTCGATAAGCCTTCAAAGTTGAAATACAAATTAATACAAGTGAACAAATTTCGTTTCCCCTCCCTTATCACC